AGGCTTCCTGATGGAAATGCCGGACTCCTTCTCAGCTTGAGAGACCCTACCAGGGGATGAATGCCCAGCTATACACCGCAGTCCGACACCTAGGAACACCTCCCAGCCACGATGAGGTGGTAAACCGTTGGAAGGAACGCTGAAGTTTCTAGCATCCAAAACTTGCCTTTGGAAAAGACGTGTACTTTTGGATTAAAGATTTTGCAAAATCACAAAGAAGCAATTATTAACTCAATGTGATTGCTTTCTATGTTCCATGCGATCCACTTTAAAGAGTCAATTAGTTTAGCTTTGGAATTTGTCAGAGCTAGAATGACGATATGAAAGTATAACATAGTCGACCAAACATTTCCTCATTCGATTTTAGAAATATCACCTGTCGAAGTCCAAATTAGCCGCAGAATTCGTTCCTATCCACTGTTTTTCACTTAAATGTGAGGAATGTAAACTATGTAAATAAAATTTAGATACACCAGCATTCTAATTGCGTTACATGAATCATTGGTCGTTAATCAATAAATCAATAATTCACCTCAACCAGTAAGCGTAGCAATTGTTGTTGGACACCAAGAAATAATGCTTCAGAATGGTATTCGCAAATTCATCATGAAGTATTGGAGTATTTGATGATTGAACGAAATAGAACGGTATGTAAATGCTAAGTCAATGTCAAGCAGAACTTCGAAATCCTGAAAAGTGATTTTTTGAAGGAACACCTATCAATCAGTAAATTGGAAACTCGTTTAAGAACCTCATCAGAAATCTAATTTTTCATCTAAAATCTAATTAATAAGCTTATGAATGTTCAATTGCAGCAGAAGTACAGACGGAAGATCAGAACAATGTTGGCATAGTATTCTGGCATATGGAGATGACACCCGAGGTTCTTGCACATCCTCATCGCATCGGGCTCGAATATTTGAAACATTCAATACAAGACGGTAAGCGAAATATTACTTACCCTGGTAGTTCGATGGCCCATCCTTACCAATAATTCAGGTTCTAGTTTATCTTCCATTAATTTTTTCCTGGCGCAGTAGTCGTCTATGGTGGTGGTGTGTCTCGAACATGGTTACATCCATGAGTAACAGTCACTTTCCATCTGAGAACGCAACTGGTTGACGATCACCACGAACATATCTGTCTGTTTTGCGTAGTCGTCCAAGAGGACGCTTACATCCTCCTAGAGTCCATTTCATTGTTATTTCCGCGCATCTGCCATCCGTTTTCGTTAATATATGATCAACGCGTGTGTGCTTAGCTATTGACTGATTTTCATTAAACATATAATTGAGAAGGCAACGGAGATCTGAGCTGTGCATTTGGGATAAACGTTGTCAGCGACGGTTATCAGACGGGATTCAGACGACATCGCTTAAAAGCGCTCTGTGGGAGGAGCGCAGAATTCTTAACGCGATTGAAGAATCAGGCCGCGTCTTTGCTTTATAGCACAGCGCTGAGAAAACTGTTGAGTCGGAAATATTGTCAAGAAATTTGTTGGGTCCGTTAGTTGGCCTGTACCTTCTTTGAGGGATCCGAATGCGGATGACGATACTGTCGTTCTTCTTCATTGGACTTACTAATCTATTTATATGTTCTGGTGAATTGATCTTTTTGATCTGATGAGAGGTTGGTATAAGTTTTCGTTGTCGTTGTCATTGCTGTTGTCCCACTCGTAACAGCGCGGCTTTGAGGAAGGCGAAATGACCGAAACGTCAGCAATCGACCAACAACATCAACAACACCGACAACGACAACGAAGATCTATACCAACCTCGCACCAGCTCAACAGGATTAGCTCATAAGAACGTATAAATAAACATGCCAACTATTCATGCCGAGGTTTCGCGTCGGCCTTTTGAATTCTTGAGTGAGAGTGAGTGAATTCTGAGCAAAATTATTACAAAATAAGTTTTGCAGTGATGATTAGCCACTTTCTTGAACACTTTAACAGCCTCACTTCATCAATTCGACAAGCACATTTACCCTGTGGTCTTTTTATGCATCAGCTCGGCTAAAAGTTTGTGTTAAAACGATGAAGAAAGCCAAGATAATTCAACACTGCGGGTAGAGGAGCGGTAGTAATACCGAACAATAAGCGCCAAGGCCTTGTTCTATGCGGCTCCGGCCACCCAAAGCTCCCATAACTCTGAGTCTGGGAGATTAGCATCAGAATTTCTTAAGATTATCTCAATGCCTACACCTCGCAAAAGGTGGCGACCTACTGTGATGAAATTCTTCGGATGAATTAGAATAACTATCCAAGGATCAGTAAGAATTAACTCAACTGGCTTTCAACGACAGTAATAGTTGGGAGCAAAATCCTCAGGCCATCGAACACATGCAGAAGTTCGAAAACCATAATGGATTATGGAACCGAGGAAATGAATCCAATGGAAGTTCTGGGATTCAAATGACATGTGCTGCTGGGTTGTGTAAAAAGAAAAATTAAAGAAAAGACATGAGAGACGATTTGTTTTCGCTTGCAAGAATACACCAGTCTGCTTTGAGAACGCCCGAGAGCCTACCCGTACTGTTACTAAACTTCATAAATCTCTCCAGCAAAATCGTCATTTATGTGCTGATTAGTTCGTGTGGCAGTGCATTTCACTTCTTTCGGCCTGCTATGCAGAACTTTTTGAAATGATGCCTCATTTCGTAATCTTATACTTGAATAATTGAATCTTTACATAGATTATATTAAAAAAAATAATGACGATCGCGATGAGATCAACAAGACAAAGAACAGAGGATAAAGCTCTCGGATTGATCACTTATCTAGGGATGCACCAAACATTCTGCTTCAATAAGCATCGTTAGAGGTGACTGAATACATATCTGGCCTATACCTCAAACAGGTATGGTGCCAGTTTGCCGACCCAAGAAGGATGGGAGACTTGATGGGCCTAGGGCGCGGGATCGAGTCCATGTGTACTACAGAACTCTTTTAACCACTGGGCTACACGCGCCCCAGAGCTCAGCAAATATACACGCAATATATACAATATAGCCGCAATATAGGCAAAGAGTATACATACAGTAACATAAAGGTTTCTACAATAGATTCATAATGTTTTTTGAGGAGAAAGAAAGACTTATTATATAATTACTCGTTATTTGAAGCTTAAAAAGAAGTATAGTTTAACAAAGAAGGAAGGAAGAGTAGGTCAGTGGAGTGACACTGCTTTTGCCTGTAATAGGCAGAAACCGTCAAAAGGTTACTCTGTCTTACCGTCGTGCTATTCCCGTAAAGTTTACCTAGGTCTTCATGTTGGGAGATAGTTGCCAGTAAGGCTATTACTGCTTTATTTATAGTTATACTGTTAGAAAGGCAGTAAATAAAAAGCAAACATTGTGATTTCGACCATAGCTTCAGCTTAACAGGGTTTAATAGCGATTTATGATCCCCAGTGAGCGCAATTCCCTTGATGGGTGATCGTGGTAGCACGTTAGATGGAAAAATGGCTGAGAGAAATGCAAAGTAATTCCTCAGTGGTGCTGGGCAACACGTGAGCCCACAGACAGGGTAATCGCGGGTTCGAATCTGGTTTAGGGTCTAAATTTTGCAAATATCTTAGCATCATGGTAGTCGTAACTGTTGGTTTTCATAACACTGCGTAATTACGATGAGAAATGTATGGTAATATAAGAAAAACATTCTCGACGGAATGCTTAAGAGAAACGACATGAAAGAATGATATGGTGTATAACAGCAACACGAAAGGAACGTTGTTGGTATGGGCGAGGAAGAACGTTCTAGAATGTTTCGAAATCAACCATATAGGGGTTTGATCAAACGAACGTTGAAGGAAACACGGCTATGAACAGCGAGAGGTGCAGCAGACTAGTTAGTAGCATGGAACCAAACGAGGAAAACCGTGATCCGCACGAATTAAGGTGCTTCAATCAATGTGATCTCTTAACGAAGTTTGAATGGAGAAACGTCTGACAGAGAGAGGATATTGAAAGTATTCGTTATGAGATAGCGAATAATCTCTAGAGAAAATCCGTGAAATTCAAGGCGTTTTTCGAATTATCAGGGAAATCTGTCATTGGTATTTATAGATTAAGGGAAGTTTGGGTTGGCGGAAAAGAGTAGTGTAGGTGTGGCTACGGTCTTAAACACTAACGGAATGATGCGACGACTTCGTCTTGAACATGAGAACGACTGGATGGACTCTTTTCGTCTGAGGAAGCTGTTCGTTTTCAGAGCATATGCTCACGTAGAAAGAAAATGCGAGCTATGGGGAATGAACGCACTATTACCCTTTCCGGGGTTATCGTGTTCTCCACCACGCCATGCCGGTCCTTGGTTTCGCTCGTCTCTCTGCTAGCTCTATCGATCAGTGCCATCAGCAATCACCCATTAATGGGATTGATCTCATGAACGAGAAACAGGCGAAACGAAGGACCGCATGGTATGGTGGTGAACACGGTAACCCCGGAAAGAGTAATAGCGCGTTCGTTCCCCACCACAGACTCTTTCGGTCCGGAGTTTTGCAAATATCTCAGCACCATTGTGGTAATAAGGACATTTTAGCAGAATGATTTAAGCACAACAATGCTAAGATATCTGCAGAACTTCGGACCGCAGTTGCGTGCTGTGAGGAAGAAACGCACTATTACCCTCTCCAGGGTTACTGTGTTCACCACCACACCATGCTTGTCCTTCGTTTCGTTTTTCTCTCAACCGCGTTCTCTAGGTAGTACCAGCAGTGGCTCGTCAACGGGATTGATCTAGATGGCGGCACAAATCGTCGTTGAACCCATTTAATCTGAATGAATAATATGAATAGAAAAGGATAATAGTAACCGAGTTATACTATATTTCACAGTACCTCTGCCTTGAAAATAGAAAAGGCAGTGCATAAGAAGTGACGTCATTAATATTTAACATAACAATACAGTTACGAATGCTGATTATATGGATATCGAAAGTTTGATGTCAACAGATTCAGAAAAAAGTATGAAGACCACTCAGTTGACTTCAAATTCCAGACATGTTTCAAAGAGTGATCAGCACACCATACGACCTTATCATTCTGGACGAAATGTTCGCAAGTGCACAAGCTGCGATGGCACTGGCCATCCAAAAAAAGTTCAACAGTAAACTCGCTCTTTTTGCCACAACTGGTAAGAAGTTTTTGGTCATTTTAATAGCATCAATAATTCCTTTACGTTTTGAATCTCCAACAAGCCATAATTCTTAGAAAATTTGCAGATCTCTCCAGTCAAGCCAGTATGGGTCGCGGGTTTTGTCGGAATCCTGTCATCTCTCCAAGGTAATAAGCGTGATATCTTACATGCTACTTGCTACTTGAATGGACCGTCCTCAGTGCTTGTGCGGGCCCCAGCATAATCTTCATTTTGGAGTTTTGCTGGCTAAGCCATTGTGATTTCCTGGAATCCCGAGGTCAGCCTAACCAAAGTCTGCCATACGTCTTCACCACTATAGGCAGTCGCAGCACTTGTGGATCAGAGACAGATTTGCCATAATGCGACTTTCATACCAGAACGGTGATAAAACCTGGTATCGGTTTACTCTTAGCTAGGCTTCCTCATGGAAACGTCGAACTCCTTCTCAGCGTGGGAGACTGCCAGAAGATGAATCCCTCACTGTACATCGCAGTCCTACACCGAGGAATGCCTCCCAGCCACGATGAGGCGGTGAACCATTCGGTGTGAACGTGATATCGGAGGACGAAAATGAACGTTATTGTCGCTTTTCATTTTTAAGTGCAGTTTGTATATATATACATTTATATATACATGCTATATATATATATTTTTTTTTTCCAATCCAAACTCCATTCTGCTTATTCTTCATTATCTTACTGCTGTTCTCATCTTCTTACACTGAGCAGTCATATTCTTTCTGGCCGTAGTAGTTGGAGACATTCAAAGCCACGGCCATCTACTAGCTTTCTGGAAGTTTTCTGAATGTCTAATAAGTGTCTAATAGGCTGAGAGACAGGCGAAACGAAGGACCCGCATGGTGTGGTACAAACCTCGCGTCAGCTTAAGAAGATCAGTTTATAAGATCACATAAATAAATATATCAACTATCTATGCCGAGGTTTATAGAAAGTCGGTCTTTCGACTTCCTAGTCACTTGATTGCAGGCTTTTGGTCGAATTGGCTCGTAGAATACAAACCGCATAAGCAATAAGGCACCCACACACGCATGTTTGAATACGCCTAGCAAATACAGAAAGTATGTGCCAAATCAGCGTAGCAGAAACAGGGAGTCCATTTACTGGATCCGTGTGCGTCTCAGGAACCAAAGGTCGCTTTTGGTCCGCGATGAATCCCCTATCCCTCACCTGGGGCGCGCTGCGTAGCCTCACGATTAACCGGCTCGAGATCCCTAATGTGAGGGGGATCCGTGGGGTTGAGGATTCGTCACTGTCGCTGAATATCTCTAGGGTCTCGTGACTTCGTTAAACTTCAATGAATTAATATTATTGATCAGAGATTTTTTTCTAGTTTTTATACCAAAACCTACAACGTAATGGACTGCGATGTAACCCGATTCGTTGACCGCCTCACCACCTTTAAGGACGTCATCGTGGAGCAGGTTATTTTGGCAAATTCACAAACTCTCCCAGTTTTTTCTCCTCAGATGATATAGAATTGTAGAATTATCGTGTTGAGGGCAAGATCTCATCAAAACGTCAACCTCGTTCTTTTTGTTTTCAGTATGCCACGATTATGGTGTCAAGTGGATGGATGCAGAAAGCCGGAGAAATGCTGAATGTTCGCAGCTCGTACGAAACCATCTATGAGGTGATCATTTTTTCAAACTATGGCATAGAAAACTAGAACGAATTAAATAATTATCAGACAAGAATAAACTTCGACATTGATCAATCCCTGGAGAATACGCCATGGATTCAGTCCCATTCGTAGCATCGCTGTGGTGATCGAATTCATATTTGGAATATACAGCAGCCTGTATTGGCCTCCCGATGCGGCATTTCGATGCTTTTTGTTCTTCTAGAGAAGTCTGGTACCGATTTTTTAAACACAGACGGATCGCCGGCTTGGCTGTATGTGAGCGAGGTGTCGAGTTAATCGCTACGAGCGCATTGCACAAAGCGTTAACTATTGTGCTACACGCACCCAGAACCAATTAACTCTAGTAAACAGCTGATTTCAGGCTTCTTTTGGAACATTTACCGACTTCCCATCGCGTTTTGGATTTCCATCGTCGCAAAGTCGGGATTTGATTGATATCGCCGAGCATTGCCAGGGTTCTCGTAATTATTCACATAAAAACTTTTCAACGGTGAAAATCTGAGCAGTAAAAAGTTGTATAAAAGATAAAAATCAATAGCAAGCATATGATAGAATAAAAATAAGTAGCTAATAATAGAAATCCTAAGAATAATTAATCGTATCGTAAGAAAATTTGGACAAATTGACTGTGTCGTCAAGCAATGTTAGGTTTACAGACAGGCGAAACGAAGGACCTGCATGGTGTGATGGTGAACGCGCCACCCCCGGAATGGTTAATAGCGCGTTCGTAGACCACCGCAGACACCTGCAGTCTGGAGTTTTGCAAATATTTCAGCATCGTTGTGATTGTTAGGTTTCTCCTGAAGATGTCCTCCTACAAATGTGTCCACATAAAAACTTTACATTTGAAAATTCGGAAAGGAAAAGTGATGGAGGCTTGCATTTGTTTACTTTTCCTAGTATGCCGTTAGAACTTTTAACGCTCTTAATATATTTATTTATGTGATCTTATAAACTGATCTTCTTAAGCTGACGCGAGGTTGGTACAGATCTTCGTTGTCGTTGTCGTTGTTTTTGCTGTTATTGGTCGATGGCTGACGTTTCGGCGACTTCGCCTTCCCCAGAGCCTGGACGTACTTTATGTTAGAATACTTTTTATTAATCGGTGGAAAAGAAGGTTAAAGTATTAATGAAGATCAAACTTTCAAATAGACGCCATATTGAACAGAAAGGCCACTCACCGTGATGTTACGTGCGGGACTGGCCCACACGTAGTTCACGTGCAGTCGCGAGCAAGACGTGCTCCAGGGTCAAAATATCATTTTGAAATAGGGCGCCAGGTAAGCTGCCCTTCATATCAATTGAAGTAAGCCACGCTATTAAAAAGTGCTTAAGGAGAAATGGTCTATGTAACGAATGAAATCTATGTATTAATGTAATGAATTATGTAACGATTATTGACATCCCACCCAATACCCTACGCCGCCAGTTAGTTCGAAACCGTCTCTATGATCGTTTGCGCAGCTCAGAAAACTCTATGATCTGTCCTAACGGGAGAGACGGTGATTGCATGAGTTTAGGTATAACATACTTGATCTCATGTAACGCATGCGGTTAGGAATATATAGGGGAAACAGGTAGACCACTTTGTTTCCGCATAAAAGAACGTCTAGATAGGAAAGTTAAAATCCGTCTAACCACTCCTCCAGGTACGCATAGGGCACAAAAGCACAACGGCGATGATTTTGAAGTGATTGCGCGGATCCCAGCAGAGGAATCAAAAACAACGTGCAAAACTCTTGAGGCGTTATGGATAAATTTCGAAACCCAAAGATGAACCGGAAAGACGATTGCCTCACTATCACGCGTGACCTGGTGCCCTATTTCGAAATGATATTTTGACCCCGGGGCGTGTCTTGCTCGCGACCCCACGTGAACAACGCGTGGGCCAGTGCTACTCGTAACATCGCGGTGAGTGGCCTTTCTGTTCAATATGGCGTCTATTTGAAAGTTTGATCTTCATTAATACTTTAACCTTCTTTTCCACCGAATAATAGAAAGTATTCTGACATAAAATACGTCCAGGCTCTGAGGAAGGCAAAGTCGCCGAAACGTCAGCCATCGATCAATAACATCAAAAACAACGAGAACGACAACGAAGATCTGTACCAACCTCGCGTCAGCTTAAGAAGATCAGTTTATAAGATCACATAAATATATCAACTATCTATGCCGAGGTTTATAGAAAGTCTGTCTTTCGAGCTCTTAATATATTTTCATGTCTTATATTTATACTTAAATTTACGATTTCCCCATGGTTATCAATGAAATCGAATACTATAGATTATACCCGTTAGTACTTATTTATTTTTGAAAAGTGAATTTTGTCGAACTTCATCATTTAGAGTCTAACGAGCTTCCATCCGATTTGCTGCAATTTGTCGAAGACCCGAATTCTAAAGGGACCATTTATGTTGCTTTTGGATCGATAGTCACTTGGACTGTAGCACCACCAGAAGTATGACGGATACTGATTTTCATGTTCTTAAAATTGCTGGTGAAATTTAAGAAAGATTTGTTTACTGGAAAACACCAGAAAAACACATTCTTCACCTGACTACAATTTTGTTGGTTACGAGAGCTTTTTTTCTTGAATATCTGAGAGATTCGTGGCAAGGAGGCTTTGGATTGTTGCGAGTAGTTTGTGATTTTTATGGACCGAGACGTTTACCCAATTCTAATTCGTGGAACTGGTTTGGTGTCAAAGAGGCAAATGTAGGAAAGTATCAAATTTCATCTCAGCTTAGAGAACATTACCAAACAGACGAGAACTCTGCAACGAAAAATATCAAGCTTCGATATCCAGAAACACCTCACTACACGGAGGTGGTAAACCATTGATGGAAAAAGTTCATCAAAAGCTCTTAAATTTAAGTTTAAGCTAATGAAAATAATATGGGCTGACAGAAAGTTCTCCTGAATGGACCAAAAAATGCTTAGGATTATTGTTTTTCTTTTTTAGCTTTGGAGTTGATCCAAAAAGCTTCCAGTGCGTTGCTTTTTCTTTGTGCTCCATTTACAAGTTGATTGTACTTCAACACAAAGAGTCTTTAGTAAAAGAAAAATCTAGGAAGAGAAGAAGAAATTGAAAAGTTTTGCTGAATTTCTTTAGTTGGCCATTTCGATTTAGGTTATTGAAATCTTTTTCGACGTTTTCAACTCGTTAGCCGACTACAGAATCATATTCAGCTATAATGGAGCAGCGGTTAGTGCATGAAAACTTTGAAGTCGGTTTTGTTTTTAATTTTTGGTTATATTTTTTTTATTGCTGTTATAATTTTTTGGGTGCGTCTAGCGCAACAGAGGTACCTGGCAATACACACGTGGTCTTTGGTTCTTCTTCTTGAGTGATAGCACTCACCCTGTGTCCACAAAGCCCCCCAACTCTCTGGGAGGATAGCAGAACTGATTTGATACACAGGTGGGCCACCGCGAGTCATCGTGTAGGCCAGGTATGCATTCACTCAACCCTAACGAAGCTCGATGAAGTCCAATATATGGAGCATCCCTCAAGGATTAATCGACATCGAACGCTATCTTTTTATTAAGATTTTCTAACAAGGTGATTTTACTACTATTTGTTATAATTATTTTTTTTACAGGTTAATGTTTTTCCGGCAATCCTTATCGAAGAGTTCACCACCCGCATTCCCACCACGTAGAAAGTTTTTCCGTAGTGAGCTGCTAACATCAAAACATTCATACTTTAAAATGGCCATTTAAACACAGAACAGCTTCAAAATTTCTATCCGGAAACTTCAAATAAGCTTATACCATGACAGAGTACGACGGTGGTGCCGTGACTTAAATCTGAGAAAGCAAGGATTCGTATAGATAAGCTAATCACAGGGGTCACTGCTGTTTTGGAAAGCTCACAGCGGTCACTGGTGTTTTGCAAAACATCTTATCACAAAAATCTAACTTTCTTCGTCGCTAAGACCACCCTGATCCGTGATGACCACCTAGTAAAGGACGACTTTTTACTATTAGGAGGAACTCTTCGAGCAAAAAGAAAAGCAAGCTGAGTTATACCAAGAAGAGAAACCATCACGAAAAGCAGAGGATTTTACGAAAAATAGAACTCTTTCAGATATCAAACATTCCAGTGATCTCAAATCCACTATAAAAGCCTCCATTGTAAGACTCTTCCCAAAAGTATTCCTCAAATCCGTGTGGAAACGCCTTAGCTCTCTATCTCTATGATTGAGAGGGAATCGATTCAACCTGATTTCTACGAGATTCATCAAGAAAACGAAATCGTCGAGGTGGAGCCAACATAACACGTGAAATGTTTGAAGACCTTTATGGACGATCAATGCGAGGAATACGAATCGAATGAAAGATGTGGTGGCAACGCTCAGTAGATACGATGACGGGCAGTGTAAAATAAGAAAGCCATAATGAAATAGTATTTTTATTATTTGGCTAGCTTTTGAAAGACGTCCCTATCGACACCATCAGCGTGGAATGCAATTCGTTCGTTAGAGTTCTAACGCGTTCACCACCACACCATGGGTCCTTCTACAAAAGCGCGTTTGGTCCCACCGCAAACACCTGCGGTCTGGAGTTTTGCACATATCTCAGCATCATCTTAATTGCAAGAAAAATTGATTCAACCAGCATTCTAGGACATTCATAAAGAAGAAATCCTCAAGCAACAATCGAAACAATACGCGAAATGTTGATAAGCTAATACAAGGTTGATAAGCAACAATACGAATAAGGATCTTGGCGTTGATCAGTCTCTGAGCGATGCGCCATGAATTCGATTTCATCAAGTATCTTAGAGGTGATTGAATGCATATCTGGCCCTGACCGGCCTAGCGATGTATAGTGTCAGTGCTGCTGTTCTCCTAGTCAGGTCTGTAGGATTTTGCAGATCGCAGAGGGTCGGAAGACTTGGTAAGCCCAGGGTGGGGTTTCGAACCGACGTGTAATCGCAATACACTTCTAACCACTGCCCTGAACACTCCGTAAAAAAATAAAAAGCAGTAATACCACAATGAAGGAAAACAAACGCACGCATTAATAAAATAATAAAAGGTAGACATTGTAGTGTAACGTGTTCCCGAATGCTCCATTTTTATGGATCTAGTCTGAGAATCCAGCAGGATTCGGAGTATATTCTATCAGCTGTTTAGGAAAAAATAGTCTAGGAATCTTAGAATAAAGTTGAGGCAAAAGATGGGATTCATCTAGCTTTGTGAACTAAGCGCTTTTGTTTCTGTTTATTTCAAAAACTGAATGCAATGTTTATGTGTTTGACGGATTTCTAGGTTGATTCAGCCAAACCTCATGTGAAAGTTCTACCATGGGCACCGCAGCGTGATATTTTGGCTCACAAAAAAACGATACTTTTCTTTACACACGGAGGATTGAAAAGGTAGAGTGTATTTTTTTCCTTATCAGTAGTTTTATAAACGCGCATGTAGCACATTGGTCAGAGGTACCCTGCGATTCACATGGCCTGGATCTATCGACGCCCGACCTAAACTAGCCATCCCATCTCAGGCTCGGTAAATTAGTACAGAAAAAAGAACAAAAAACGCTGACTTGACAAATCGGAAAAATCTAGCTGGTCGTTTCTGAGGGGAAATAGGCATTTAATCATCTCCGCATAGTGGAATCGAATGCCCGGCGCTTCCTTAAGCGTTTGGTCCACTTCGAACGCCGTATCCTCCATCTTTTATCCGTAGTCATATTTATTTCAAACGTCACGTTTAATGAAATCTTAATATTGAACTGATACTCGATTCTGGAAAGAAGAAATATTTTTTCATCAGTGTCAGCTGTCTTTTAACAATGAAATCATTCGAGAAGCACGTCGCACCTCTTTTTCAACTCAACAGGTCTCGGTTTGTTGCGCTGCTTGAGAGTGACGAAGAACGTCATATTTCTTGTCGACGACCTACTTAAAAAATTAGTGGTAGTTAGCTTTAGTAGTCTTCATCTTTGTCAACTTAGTATTCAGGCGGACCCATTGGCTGCTGGATTATGCCTGCGGTGGTTGTCAACGCAACAGCACCTTGTGTTCGCACCACGGTTTTGACTCCTTTCCGTGTTCTCCAGCTTTCCTTATGCTCATTTGTTGATGATATATGGTGTTCCAAATTTTCTCTTCTGCATTTTTAATATGAAACACTCTTAGCACAGACACCATATTTAAAAGGTCTTTGTTAAAGATGAGTGCGCTATTTGTTTACACAGGAGTCGGGCTCCTAGCGCACATGTGAAATCGAGAAACACAATGTTGTCAAAGAAATGGTCGTCGAGCTGGTGTTTTCCTTTCAGAGCATTTTTCCTTCTCATTTTATTCTTTTTCACATTTCCTTTCCTCTTCCCCAGTTCTCCTTTTCACTCTTCCTTTCCAATTTTCCCATTTTTCTTTCATCTTTCTTTCTTGAAGGGTTATATACGTTGGCTTCATTCCTACAGTTAATGTTTGGTGTTTTAGAGAACACACAGGCAGAAAAGCAAAAATATCATAACATCCGCCATCAACTTTTACTCTTATGGCGTCCAGTTGCTGTTTTCTCACACCTTAAATGTTAGAAGCTTTCATGACCGCTTTCTTCTCAAAAGAAACGTAAACCTTTTCGAAAATGACGAAGCTGGCAGAGTTCTCAAAGCCCGCTATTCTTCAACAAGTATTTTAGTAGTAAGGATATACTCACCCACTAGCTGGATTAATCTTTAATCTTCTCGTTTGTTCTTCTAGATGAGGATAATGTTCGCATCAATGTCCGACATCTTTCACCTTATTTCTGAAATTGACCCATCGTCAGCCATTACTGTTGGTCTTCTCTTTTCCATTCTTGCTTCTCTGTAAATCTGTACAAGCTCATAAAGATACAGGTAGTTGAATGCGTTTTGTGCATTTCCAGGATGGTAGATTCTTCGGAGTTTCTAGAAACAAACGTGTAGTATCGACCTTTAAATCCTCCGCCTTCTAGCGGTGTCGGAAAAGTTCTCGATGAGCCAATTATTCTTTGGCATTACTCTTTGACATTATTTACAACGATGTGGTCTGAAAAGCCGAACAAAGTACAAAACACTAATTTGTGATAGTTGCTCTCTTCTTTAAAATTTTCCAGTCTGTTGTTTTTATGTTAGAGAAAGGAACCAGCTCGAAAAGGCTATGTATGGTCCAACTTTATGCTAAAGTCTGTGATAAGAATTAATGCGATAGAGGAAAGTCCTTATCAAACAATAGCTGCAAGCTACATTCGGCACTTTTCACTTGGATCCGCGTACGTCCAAATGGTGCTAATCGTCACGAAAAATCCACACATCCGCTCGTACCATTTCTGCCATCGGTTACTAGTGTTAAGTTGTACAAACTTTTCTTAGAATCAATCCTGACGTTAAAATTTTTGACAATAACTTTGCAAAAGTATTGCCTTCTCCAAGGTCTGTGTAGCGCAGTAGTTAAAGGTGAACTACGATATACATGGGTCCGTTCCCGCACCCCAGAATCAGCAAGCCTTCATCCTTCGGAGATGAGCAAATTAGTACCATACCGATTTAGGAGGATAGCACTACTTCTTTGATACATTGGTGGGCCCCTGCGTATGATTGCAGGGGCAATATTGCATTCATTCACCTCTAACGATGATTGATGTAGTCGTATGCATGGACATCCCTCAGTGATTGATGAAATCCGAAAACTTTGTCCTTTTCACCTTACCTTGCTACCTAGCCCTACCTTATAGCTTTTTCACGCATTATGAGATAACCAGATCATATGTTCATGGTAAATCATTGCTCGGGCAAATGTAAGAGTGTTCATTGTTCTAAACACCGACGACTGTAAGCAAAGGATTTTAGTCGTTCATTCAATTACCACACCTTTTTTGATAAGACTAGTATGTTTCCCACTTCTTGCTCCGGAGAACAATTTTAACTGATGTCATGATGGTATTTAGCGGGCGATGTGCTTTTATCTCGGTTGGCCCAAATGATGTTTTTGGTTCACCTCACAAACGGAATTTTTCTAAAAGAGTCTTAGAAATGAATGAGTGTGGATAAGGTTCCTTTTATTCATTTTGATGAGCATTTCTATAAAGCGTTTAGATTGTTGAGCTCTAATAAGAGTTAGATTTTTTCTTACACCACCCTCTTTCATATCTACTGCACTGTGCAGATCTTGCACTTCTTGCATTCAATTTGTTCTCTCGCACCCATCTTCCACGAAAACCTTCGAACCCTCCGAATGTGGATTCGTCCGTTGCTTGAGATTGTTGTCTTCTTTATGAATGTCATTGAATGCCGTTTGAGTTTTGGAGTCTTAGGGTAGCAGCACTGACTAGTCACCTGATCTGCAGAGTGAAGCTTTCCCAGAGAAGTCCGCCTCCAATTTTCAGACCCCCGAGACTTGGTGAGTCTGGTGCTGGGTCGAACCATCACAGGAGGCCTATAACGCTGCGCTTTTCGGACTAACTGCGATCTTGGCCGTTATAAACAACTGATCTGGTGTTTATTCATTTCATTGCGAAACGTTAAGCGAATCAACATGGAGGTCACCGCCCACATTTAAGTAAAACCGCTCAAGTACCTATCTCGGCACATCACTATTCGGGCAATATAAATTAATCTAGTGCAAGAGAGAAAGAGACCCTATCCTCTGAAGTCGGCCGCTTTATAGATCAAAATTAAAGGACGCTTAAGTCAGTGTTTATTCCTTATACGAAACCAAGCGTTCTTAGACGATTACTCTCCAATATATGCGCCACGCATTCGACCCCATTTGTCGCATCATGGAAGAGACTGGAAGCATATTTGATTGGATGCTTTATAATAGGTTGCGGGTGCATGGAGACGCATCAAATAGGTGGTTTTATTCAACCTGACATTTGTGCAAATTTACCGACGACAGAGGAATGATGCGCTGTTTTATCTGGAGCACAAGACCGAACCAACAGTCTTTCGAGTGCACTTTAACCACTGCGATACACGCGTGTTCAACACTACAGTATATCATATCAAATCCAGTATTATATTTAGTGTAAAGGAAGGCATTTGCTCAAACACAGCGATGCTCTTTTTGCCATTTTTTGCTGATCAACCTCGCAATTCGCTGATGGCAAGAGGTATGGGTTTCGCCGAGGTGATCTACAAAAAGGTTCGCAGTATACATGGAATATTTTTACACAGCAGATACATTTTTTAAGGTAAACTTGAGAATTTGGTTGTTCTAGGCGCCCGGATGATTTTACGTTTAGTTCGTCTTTCTTTAAAAATCTTTCAATTTTCTATTTCTCGAGTAAGCACTGTGTAGAAGGTTTGTGTAGGCTTGCATGGAAAGCAAGGGTTAACATGTCAACACAAAGTATTGTCGTTAATGTAAAGTTGTTCAAATGATAAACTACTGAGAATAATGTTAACCTTTTATTTTCGGCCTACTATAATATTTCGCGGTGGCGTATGATGTGAACTGAAACCATAACGATGCTGAGGTAAACTTGGGCCCGAGGCTAGATCGGACCACGATTTCCCTTTCCGGGGGTTCGTGTATTACACACTCTGCCATGGAACCCTTTGTTCTACCTTTCTCTCGGCTAGTTTTTTACCTAATGCTACCATCAAAAATGTTTTTTATTAAGAATAAGTATTCAACGAAAAAATAACATGAATACAGCACTATGTTATAGAATATAACAAAAGAGGAGCTGAAGACAAAAATTAATAAAGTGCTTACTGATGGAAATCTCTTATCACAACAGCATAAGGTATGAAAAATTTCTACTCTTTCTACTAGTAAATTTCCCTCAAAAAGCATTTTTTCTTCAAAAATAACCTTTATGTATAAAAATTGGTCCATCGCAAAATCAGTCGGCAGAAAAACGAAAAGACCTCACTGAAGTGAATAACATCCTTTTTTCTACATTTAAAAATTTTTTATTTTATTTTTATGAAAAATTTTTTAAAATTAGGATGGAAAATTCTGGAAAAGTCAATTTTCTCACCTGTCGTCATTTAAGTGTCTTGAAAATTCCACTATTACGTTTTATGAGAGAAATTTAACCTTAAATGATAACATTTCATTGAAGGTGAGTCGGCAGTTTTTGGACCACGTGGTCCAACCGCTCGAGTACGGTGCGCAACGAGCGGAGCGTATCATGAAAACAAGCATCGTGCAGTCGAAGTACTACAAAAATCGTGGACGGTTACTTTCGTGGATTTCGTTCCTATACATCGATTGTTTTCTTGTCGCATTATTGATTTGTTGGTTTCTACTTTAATTTTACTACTTTAATGACATTTGTTAACTTAAGAAATCTCTACTTCTTCGTTAAGTGTACGGTTTTCTTCCATTTAGAGCTGTCTGCCTTATTAAATCAGTTTTGTATTAAATTTTATGCAAAGAAAGATACTGAGAAAAACGTTAAGACTTCTTCAAATTTTCTGCACGAGAGCATCCTTCAATTCTGTGAATAAAACGAACCCACATGGGACTTCATTCACCGAGAAATTCGCTAGAAGAGAAGATAAAGAAATATTTCCGTCCCATGAGTGAGCCTTTCGGGAAATTTTCTTTGCTCGAACGCTAGCCGTTAATAACGAGAAAAATATCCGAGTGGATACCGGTCAGCGAAGCACAATGTCAGCAGCTATCAGCAAGTTTTCTAGGATATGTGACCTGAGTACTTTTCAGATTGGAAACTTGCTATCTCACTATGTTATGTAATTGCAAAGAAACCGTGTAATTCTACTTTTCATGTAACTTGCTACATTGACTCGACTCCATGACGGATTCTGTTTGACTTGTGCTTTATTGGTTTGCTAACACTTTTTCCTTGGAGTCTTGAAATGAACGTGAGTATGATTCTTCAAGGCAAGCTGTGATACTCAGCAGTGGTTAGGTTTTATTTGTTTTTGAGCGAAAATATCGATGTCCTTTCTGCTTACATTACCGCTATCGGAGATGAGCTTCTTGCTGAGCACCATAAATATCTTCTCGTCACAAACAGAGCGTGAACCGTTGAGGTAAGAAATAAAATAAGTGCAGAATAAATAAAGAATGGATTGTGTACAGAAGTCCAAAACGGT